TCCTGGGCCTCTCCTGCTGCCTGGCCGCCAAGCCTGCCTCCCTCCTTCCTGAGCAGCCCCTTCCCCAGCCCAAACAGGCTTTTTAGCCAAGCTAACCCCACCTCATTAATCCCCCAAGGCAGCTGTCCCAGCCTAGACCCTCCAGCTCTGGCTTTCATTTTCCCCACCTGATGTGGGGAAACCCCAGTACTGGAACTTCCCCTCCCAGCTGCCCCCCTACCCCTAGGTTAAGGCTCTTTGTCCCCCACCAAAGTCATCTTCTGCACTGCACAGACTTCCCCTTGGAGGTGCACACAGAATGGAGGGCTCTGGCTAGACCTACCCAGTCTGTGCTGTCTGAAGAGTGGCCCTCTTGACTCTCCTGTAAGGGACAACAGGATAGGACGTTGCATTGTCTCCTTGCTCCTCATCCAAGAGCTTCTATTTTCTCTCCCTTGGCATAGAGTTGCTGGGGCGGGGCGGGGGGCACTCCTACCCTCTCTGTTCTCCCTCTTGGGGTGCGGGGAGCTCAGCCCTGGAAAACACCTCTGCACTACCCCGGCAGCTTTCAGTTTGGCTATGGGCTGCAGCTGGCCTGGCTGGACCCTGGGGCCAGAGGGGAGTAGAGTGTGGGCAGGCTGGACAGGAAGGACCTTGGCCCATTCGCACCCTGCCCACACTTCCACTGAGCCAAGGCCCTCTTTGAAGGCCAGAGATAGGAACTTGGAGCTGCCACCCCCAGGATCCTGGCTTCCCACACCAACCCTCACTTCCTGGCCCACACTCTCACTTCCTGCACCTTCCCTATGTGTGGCTTCTTAGAGATGTGTTCCTTCTAACCCAAGGACCCTAGCTCACTCTCTCTGGTCTGGGCCCTGACAATAAACCCTGCCCTGCCCTTCAGGCTGGTCCACTTGGCAGTGATTCATGAGGCCCCAGCTGTGCTGCTCTTTTGCCTGGCTTTGCTGCCCCAGGAGGTCCTCGATATTCAGAACAATCTTTACCAGGTGAGTGGAGGGAATGGGTTGTGCCTAGATACTCGTATCTGCCCTGGCAGCCATCCCCAGCAGCCACATAAGTGTCCTTAGGCTGCTTGGGAAACCATATGCCAGACACTAGTCTAGAAGCTGAGGATACAAACATGAATAATACACAGCCCTTGCCCACAAGGTGTTCAGGCTTGGGCTAGGAGACTTATGTCAACACCTAATCACACAGCATGGTGACAAGTTGCAATGGAGACACTTGCCAGCTGCTGTGGGATCCAGCGTCTCTGGGGAGCAGCCAGGGAGGGGTTAATACAGGAGGTGACATCTGCATGGAACCTTAAAAAGGAGTGTGGCAGGCAGAGACTTCTTGATGCCTCTGTCTTTCCTCCTCCCAATCCCTCACTGTCACTTAGTCTCTGAGGATAACAGAGGTCTCCCCAGAGGGTGAGAAGGTAGACCCTGCCCCCATCTGTCCTTTCTCCAAGGGCTAAGGGGACCTACAAGAAGAGCAGAGAACCACTTCCCTCACCCTGCCTCCAGAATTGGGGTCCCAAAAACTTGGTGGGAGATGACAGGGGGAAGGGCTTGGTAGCGTTGCCTTGGAAGACCAGGGTCATAGCCTCTATAAACTGCCTTCAAGGAAGGTGCTAGAACTTGGCGATTCCTGTGCCCACTGGAGCATGTTCTCAGAGGTGGGAGCATGCTGCAGTGGCCATGTGACCCTCTGTTTGTGTCTACAGACAGCACTCCATCTGGCTGTACATCTAGACCAGCCAGGTACAGTTCGGGCCTTAGTGCTGAAGGGGGCCAGCCGGGTACTACAGGACCGTCATGGTGACACAGCCCTGCATGTGGCCTGCCAGCGCCAGCACCTGGCCTGTGCCCGCTGCCTGCTGGAGGGGCGGCCAGAGCCAGGCAGAGGACCACCTCACTGCCTGGACCTCCAGCTGCAAAACTGGCAAGGTACAGGCAGCCTCAGGACTTGTGGCATGAGGAGGGGACAGGAGACAAAGACTCTACTCTCAGGAAAGGGGGTTCATAGCTTGTCCATTGATATACCTTCGGTTCTAAGTACATAGGCACTCACTACATCTTTGCTGAATGAATGAATGAATGAATGAATGAATTTGATTTAGAATTTACTGAGAACATACTGTGTGCTAAACAGAGAGCTAAATCTTGCCTTCAAGATATTCAGTTTAATAGAGGTCAGATAAACTCATTAATTCATTCAACAAAAATGTACTGAGGGCCTCTATGTGCCAGACAGTATTCTAGAGCTGGGCTTACATCTATAAACTTAACAGAATGATTGAGACAGATAATAAATATAAATAGTGATTTCTCTAGTAGGTTAAAAGGCAGTAAGTAAGTGCTATAGGAAGATAAAGCAGAATGAGAACTGGAATATGGGAGATGGGGTGTGTGATTATATGTGATTAAACAGGTGGTCGGGAAAAGCCTCATAGATCAGGGACATTTGAGCAGAGACTTGAGGGGAAGTAAGGGATGTGAATCTGAATCTAGTTCTCTAAGCAGAGGGGAATCCAGGCCAGAAAGGAGATAGCAAAAGGCTAGGGGAGCACATGGGAGGAAGTGGCCCTGGGGAGGGGGTGGGGGCATAAGGATCCTAGAGACCTCTGAAAAAGGTGGCTTTAGATAGGGCTTGAAGGCAGGCAGTTAGAATTATAGAGAATGGGGAAGGGGAGTGTTGAGGGAGAGTGAGTATATGGGGGTGTCACTCAGCAACCTGACCCCTGAAGCGTGAAAGTTTCAATAACATGACTCTGAAAAGGTGGAAACTTTGTGTTCCTTTCCCCTCAGACTTTTGAGGGGGTTTTTGGGTTTATGTTTTAACAGCTCTGTGATCAGAGGTGTTGAGTGGGCAGCAGGTCCCTCGGGGCTGAGGGATAAGGAGGTCCCTGAAGAGCAAGAGAGTGAGAGACGAGAATGAGAGAGAGAGAGGGAGAGAGAGAGAGAGAATTGGTAGATGCAGATTAGCAGCCCCCACGTTCACCCATCCCAGGTCTGGCCTGCCTCCACATCGCTACCCTGCAGAGGAACCGGCCACTCATAGAACTGCTGCTTGAAAACGGAGCTGACATTGACGTGCAGGTGAGGCGGCCAGTCAGGGTGCTGCCCGACCCAGGGCCTGCTCCACCACTTGGTCCAACCCCAGGTTCCCTCCCAGTGTCAGAAGTGATGGTACTCACCTTCTTAACCTGGGCCCAGGCCCAGCAAAATTCCTCTTGAGGGCCTTGGCTAACATTCTTCTCCTCCAGGAGGGCACAAGTGGGAAGACGGCACTGCACCTGGCCGTGGAGACCCAGGAGAGGGGTCTGGTGCAGTTCTTACTCCAGGCTGGTGCCCGGGTAGACGCCCGCATGCTCAATGGGTGCACACCCCTGCACCTCGCAGTGGGCCGGGGCCTCAACAGCATCTCATCCACTCTGTGCGAGGCCGGTGCTGACTCTCTTCTGCGGAACGTGGAGGATGAGACTCCCCAGGACCTGGCTGAGGATGTAAGAGGCATATACTCGGCTCTGCACTCCAGGACCCACACCCATAGCAGAGACAGGCGCTGTAATAGCTGAAACAGCCAAAGTGTTAGGATTCCGGGGGTCCAATCCACAACTCTGCCACTCACCAACTGTGGGACCTTGGGCAAGCCTCTCTCTAAACTTGTTTTTTTAGTTGGTCAGGTTCAGGGAGCCCAAACTTGGACTCCTATAGGATGAGTGAAGCAGGCCAGGTGTAAAATAGCAGAGTAGTGAGGCCTGTAGGAGACCAGAGAATATCTTCCTGGGGGTCACTCTATTCAGTTTCAGCAGATGGTTGCAGAGGAGAAATATGGGGCCAATATTTCCAGGTCTTGGGAATTTTTAGAGAGGTGAAACCTAGATTTTCTAAACAGTCTCCCATTTTTAAATGTTCAATTTTAAAAATATATGCAAAATTTTTTTTAAAGTATCTTTCCCTTATTACCTTCTCCCCCAAAGAAGCAGATACATGGACTGGATCACCTCTTCGGTCCTTATCTGTGATATTCTGGCACTATCTTAGAGAGTGAGAGCTTGCTTGCCTAAGGTCTCAGGGCTCTACTTAGCTCAGAGGAACCACCATTTGGGAGATTAGTAGGGAGATTTGTTCCCTGATATCCAACTGTCATTTGGTGGGGAGGAAATGGCCCAGTAGGTCTACCCAGCTCCCTTTCCCCATTGCGGTCTTTTTCCCCTGGGCCCTGATCTTGCTTCTGTCTATTCTCTTTCTCAGCCCTTTGCTTTTTTGCCCTTCGATGACCTCAAGATCTCTGGGAAGCCACTGCTATGTGCTGACTGAAGCCAGGACAGGATCTGGGATCCCAGAGGCTTCACCTCTTCCCATCTGGAAGCTGGAGCCACAGTTGCTACAGTTTGGGGCCCAGGCAATGCGCCCTTCTGGTATCATGGGGACTGCTGAAGCCAGCACAGTCCTGAGCTGAGAGGAGGGATCGCAAATGAGAGAGAGCCATTCTGGAAGGAAGAGCTTCCCAGGTGGACAGAGACCCTTGGAAGAGCCCTCCCCCAAAGCCCAAGGTATCCTGGGCGAAGTCTGTTTACCTCCCTGGAAGATGGCAAGGGCTCTTGTTGCTACCTACATTGGGTCACCCTGAAACTGCCAACCAGGAGGAAAACATGGACTCTCCTGAGTGAGGAGAGAAACTGAAATATGAGTGAGCAGGGCCCTGAAGGGTTCCATCCCACAGCTATTGAAGACTCAAACACTGTTGTTTAAAGACTTCACACAGAAGGCCCCAAACTGAGCCTTTGGGGAAGGGGAAGTTTCAATAACATGACACTAAAACAGCAAAGACTTTTAAAAAGTTTTCCCCCGCCTTGAGTTGTTTTGCGTGCATGCATGCCCATGTGCATTGGGGATTTTTAGACAGGCCTGCCCTGTGACCTTGTGGTAGAGACAGAGAGAAGAAAATTGTAACCTGAGCAGGGTAGGACTTTGCTGGGTAGGGTAGCGGGGCTAACAGTCCTCAGGCATCTCTGTCCAGCACAGACCCTTGCCCTTTCTGTAGAAATGCAAAAGTATGGAGGAAAAGAGAAATAAGAAGACACAGGTGGGAGGCCTCACCACTGCCCTGGGGGGTGCCATCTGGAGGAGCCTGGAGGGAAAGACCAGCCTAGGGAGGGTAACACAAGAGAGCTGTAGCTTTTTGTTTTTTTCTCATATTCCGTATGTGTTTGAGGGGCCTATTAGGTCAGGCCTATGATGAGATGAAGAATATGGGGGAATAAATCAACAGTCTCTCGCTACCTGGATCACATAGTCTAGTGAGTGAGATGGCCATTAAAATCATAAATGTGTATTTATATGTAATATGTAAATATGTAATTACATATTGCAGTGGGTGCTGTGAAGAAAAAAATGGGAAGGAGAACAATGGAGTGGATGAAGGGCCATACTTTGGGTGGTCAGGGAAGGCCTCTGACTGTCATCTCTACTTGGACATAAAGGATGAGGGAAGGCATTGGGGAAAGGCCTTTGGTGAATTAGGGGAACTGAGAACAGGCCAGTGGGGCTCTACAGGGCGTGGGTAAGTGGGCGAGGTAGACTGAGGCCAGGTCATGCGGAGCCTTGAAGGTCATGGGGAGTGAGGGGACAGAACTGCTAGCCCAACCAAAAAAAGGAGACGTCTTCCTGTCAGAAAATGGTAACGAAAGAAAATGCTCGGGATGTGGAACCTCAATGTCCCCGTCTCTAGGATGCCAGTGGTCACTACTACCTCCTCCGCTGGTTGTGAGGGCTAAGAGTGATGACCAAGCAGCGGGAGGCATAGGGCTGGGGTCCCCGCGCCTTCCCTGCCCCGGGCACCGAGTCGCGTCTCCCTCCGCGCCGCGCGGGGGCGCTGTGGCCCAGCAGCGGCCCGGGGCGCTGCGTGGTCGCGGCGGGGGACGAAGGGGCGGCCGCGGAGAGGGAGGGAGGCAGGAAGATCTCTGCACTTCCGCTAGCCGCTGGCTCGCTGGCTGCTTCTGGAGGCGCCGGCGGGAGCGGAGGGAGCGCGTGGCCCGGGGCCCCGCATTCCCCGGCCCCCTCCGCCCCACGCGGCCCGGACCATGGATATCAGGTGGGGGGCTGAGGGATGAGTCCACGTGACCGAGCCCCCGCGTCACGTGACTGCAGCTCCTCAACGCGGGGGGCCGGGTGGGGTCCCAGCTGCCGGGCGGTGGGACTGCAGAGCGCTGCCGCGAGCCGGCCGAGCCTATGGGGTTGAGGTCGCGGCGCGGGCTTGTGCTCCTTGGAGGACTTAAAGAGTGTCAGGCGGTGCAATTGGGAAACCCTGGGGCTCCTGGAACCTAGAGGGCAGGGTGGGGGAAGGGGGCGCCGTTTCTGGCCGAAGCAGCCGGCGAGCGCTGAAGGGAACAGAGGGAACCTGTGTGGCCGGAGGGGCGGGTCCGTCCTCCCGGAGGGAGGGAGCCCTGCCTAGCCGGCGCCGGCCCCCCAAGGAGAGAGAGAGGCTCTTTGTCCGGCCTGGGCCGCAGCTGAGAGGGGCGGGGAGGCGACTCCGGGCCCTTCTCCCAGTGTGGTCCCCTCTGGAGTGACGAGTGAATGAGGAGCTGCACCCTAATTCTTATTTCCGCTGTCCCTGCAGGTGGTGGGCAGTGGTGGTGTTGGCTGCGCTCCCCTCCTTGGGGACAGGTGGGGAGAATCCCGAAGCCCCTCCGGAGTCATGGACCCCGCTATGGTTTTTACGCTTTTTGGTGAATGCTGCTGGTTATGCCAGCTTTATGGTACCTGGCTACCTGCTGGTGCAGTACTTCAGGCGGAAGAACTACCTAGAGACAGGTGTGTA